TCTGCCCGCCTCGGCCTCCCAAAGTGCTGGGATTACAGGCATGAGCCACCGCGCCTGGCCCTGTATTTTTTAATATTTGTAGTACATGTCAGTTTTTTAAAAATTTATATTTGGTCTTGAATCCTTTTCTAAGTCTAAATAAATATTCACTTTTGTACCCAACTTTGTATTCTTTTTTGCTTTCTTTTTTAAAAGAATCACCCCCAAAACTTCCAGGCTTCAGGCCCTACATACCCTGGACCCACCTCTGCATACTGACCATGCTCACCTGCAAGTTGACATATCCACAGGTATACGCACAGGAGAACTTGCCAGGCTCTCCCTATCAGAGGAGCCACAGAGGGAAGACCTTTAGGGTAGTCACGAGTCTCCAGCTGCTTCTGGGAGGAGAACTCAGTGTCCTCTGCACAGTCCTGCTGTGAACATGCTTGCAGGAGGGCCTGCACCCACACAGCCTCCCTACCCATATGCATGCCTGACCATGTTCACCACAGCCATTATCTCATCTCACCCTTCCCAGCCTCCCTCCCACAGCCTGCAGGGAGAGGCATCCAGGCCCAGGGGCGAGGGGGGCTGATGCTCTGCACCCAGGGCCACACTGACACCCTAAGGGGCATTGCTGAAGGATGGTAGGAGTCCATGAGGGAGAGGGAGTGTGAGGGCTGGTCACAGAGGGATGAGAGTTGGGCTAGGGAGCCCGAAGGAAGGGAGAAAAGGGAAGAAGAGGAAATGAGGTACCATGTCATTTAATCCTCATCAAATATTGGTCCCCTTATGGATAATGAGGAAATAGAAGCCTAGAGAGGGAATGGGACTAGTCGACGCAACTAGTAAGCAGCAAAAATGGGATTTGTAACCAAGTCTGTCTACATCAGCAGTTCTCTGGACCGGAAGAGATTTTACCTCCCAGGGGACATTTGGCAGTGTTTGTAGACTTTTTTGGTGATCGAGGCTGGGAAGGAGGCTTCTACCGACACCTAGTGGACAGAGGCCTGCTAAATATCCTGCAATGCACAGTACAGCACCCCACCCCAACCCTGGCAAAGGATTACATCTGGTCCAAGATGTCAACAGTGCAGAAGTTGAGAAACCCTGGTCTAAACACCTTCCAAGAGTATTCTTCACCTTGGCCCCTTTCTGGACTTCCCATGGCCTAAGGCATCTTGGAGCCCCTGCCCCAAAATTTCCAAGAAGGAACAGCTGTATACCTCGCTGCAGTCCAGCCCAGGTTACCAGGGTCACTGCTCAAGTTACAGATCTGTAGCCAGGGTCACCGATTTCCCACTATGGCATCTCTGGTTTCAATCTTCCCTGACCATTGGAGGGAGGTGGTATGGTCTGGGGAGGGGATGCCTGCCACCCCCACCGCTTACCATCAGAGCAGGGCTACTACCCTTGAAGCCTTCTGGTCAATACCCAGCTTAGGTTAATTTCCAGCCATGGCCACAAGATGGCACCCCAGCCCACTAGGAGAGCTGAGGCTCTGGGGCGGGGAGAGTAGCATGGAGGATGTGCCAACCTGGACAAAAGCCTAGGGGCTGGACTTGGGCCAGTTCCAGAGCTTAGCAGGACCAGATCTAAGGCCTGCACGTGCCAGGTGGGAAAACATAGGCCAAACTTGGCTTCAGAACTCCCTTCACCATTTTTTTCAGTCCACTCCCAACACCAGCTCATATTCTAGCCTTTCCCACATGAAACTTACTGGAGCCCAGCAATCCCTTCTCGGGCCTGAACAAGAGAAATTCTAGAACTGAGGTGTTAAGGATACAGGAGTTATTATTATTACTCCAATACAACAGTAAAAAAAATGGAGGCACAGAGAAATTGAGTAACTTGCCCGAAGTCACAGCTAGTCAGTAGTGGAGCTGGGATTTGAACCCAGGCAGTCTAGTGTTAAAGTCTGTGCTCTTAGCCACTGAACATACCACCCCACCAGTAATTCACTGCTCCCACCCCCACCAGCCCCAGCTACCAAAGACCCTCTGGCACCAGACCACAAGCTTTCTTCTGCAAGGGAGGGGTAAATGGCTGCAAATAGGAGGCACTGCTCCGGAGTGGAAAAGGAGTGAGGTTTTCAGTCTAGCTGGGGGTCTGTGGTTAGTATTTGTGGGTGAGAAGCTAGGGATTGGTTAGTAATTCCTCCTTTGACTTCCCCCCACACCCTCTAGTTCTGTTTTTTGTTTTTTGTTGATTTCTTCTGTGTTGCCTTCTTGGTTTTCCTAGGCTGTCTGCAAATGCTAGCATTCTCACAGTGTGAAGGGGAAGTGAGAGAAAAGTTTGATGTCCTGTTCAGGATACACAAGGGGGGCCATTCTTTGGGGCCTGGGCTGGGGGTGTGTTATCAGGGATCAAAGTGGGAATCCTAAAGTGGAACAGTGTGGGGCACCTTGGGAACAGCTACCTTCTCCTGCCGGGGAGCTCCTGTGTCTGAGTTTTCTCTGCTTATCTCTTGGGGGATTTTAGGGTGTAATGGGCTTTAGGGTGCAATGAATACCCTTTCACATTCCTTCTGCCTCCAACCCTGTCCTACCTCCCTCTTTCTAACACACCATCCAGAGCCCCTAATCACCCAACCGTCCACCTACCAGGAGCCCCTTGTTTCTCTCTGTCTCTCTGTGACCCTCCTCAACTGCCTGGGTCACACTGCAGCCCTCCTTAGTATTCGCCATGGGGTAGTGATGGAGCCCTGCACCGATTCCCTAGAAGACCCTGGGTAAGTCCCTTCTCCTGACTTGATCTCCATTAGGGGCTCCATACTCCCACAGTCTCTGCCACTTGGGTTCTAGGATCCAGCCTCTCTCCTAGCCTTTCTCAAATCACCTGGAACTAAGTGAGGATCTACTGTGTTCTGGGCACTCTGGAGGGAAGCAAACAAAAAGCCCTGGAGGAGCTGATGGTCTTTTTATGGAGATCAGATGAGCTACGGAGAAGATCAGGAGCCATACTCTGATCCCATGTGGTTCTGCAGGTGAGGAAAGAGGTGAAGTCCTGGAACCCTATGGCTGGTAGAATCTCAGAAGGTTTCTTGGGTGAGAAGAGGAGCTGGACATCTGGCTAGAAAGAAAGGAAGGTTTGGAGAGGCTGCTTTCTTGTCTCTCCCCATCTTGATTTCTCCCAGCCGTGTGTGTATGTGTGTGTGTGTGTGTCTGCCTCTGTGTCCACCTTTTTCCCTTCCTTCTGGATTCTCCATGTCTATTTCATCTTCTACCAATGTTGGGACAGAATTTTCTGAGAACCCATATCCTAGGGATCTGAATATGGGCCAGGCTTGTCCACACCAGGCCAGGCTTCCTTGTGGTTAGGAGATGGGAACTCACACTGGTCAGGGTGAAAGGGACAATCAAAAACACTCTCATCCCTGCATTACTCTGAGATTGAAGGGGAAACAGCTCCTATTTAGAGGAATCACACAGATCAATATCTGGAAGGAGGAGGTGCCATGTAGGCCCCAAACTCCAACCCTCTCTTTGTCTCCACCCAACTCTGCCCGTGTTTCTGACTTAATTTGCCTCTCTGTCTCTCCCCTTGTCCTATTACCATCTGTCAATCCTTGCCCTGCCCCTCTCCACTCCTCCAAGTCTCTTACCCACCACACACAGATTTTCCTGTGGCTAGATTGGGATTCCCCTGACCAAGTAAGGAGAGCGATGTCTGTGGCACAGCTTTGTCCCCAGGCTCACGACAGCATCTGTGGGTCAGGGTAGAGGGACAGCTGTCTGCACAGTTAGAAAGTGCCAGCAGGTAATAAGAGCCTCGTATCTTCTTAATTAAATCGCCCTTTGCCCAGCCATCCTGTGTTCGATTGGTTTGAGCTGGGATCAATAAGCCTCTTTCCCAGCCCAGCCACCCCTGGAGCCGGGCCTGACCTCCCCAGTCATGCCTAGGCCCGCCTGGCCACCTCCCCAGAAGGATGGGAGCTTCTCGAGGCCAGAGGCTGGGTCTGATACATCTCTTGTGTCCTTGTGCCTGGGATGGATCATGAAACAAGTAAAGAGTAAAGGAGTGATTGCTCTACTGAGTAAACCGAGGCACTAGCAGCAGGCATGGGCCAGGAAGGCTTTGAGGTTCAAACTGAAACTCCCACCCCCAGGACCAACTGTGAAGCTGGAGGAATCACAGCAAGCAGCTGCTCCCACCCAGCCCCCAGACATAACACCAGCTCCTCCCTCCCAGCCCCCAGACATAATCACCAAGGGCAGCTGAAGCCCTAGGAAGTGCAGGGTGGGGGTGTCGGTGCTCAGGGAAACTACGAGCAGGTGCTGCTTCTGACCTCTGAGGGCAGAAGGCCCTTTTCATAAGGGGTCTCCACCTAGGGATCCAGGGTTAGTGTGGGAGAGTCAGCGAGCTTGGATGGATGTGGCATTCATGGGAGACTCCCTCTGTCTGAAGCTGGAAAGGGCCCAGCAGAGTCAGTAAGGAGTCCAAAGGGGTTAATAGGGGTCCAGGACTGATTGTTAGTGGAGGGCGTAGAGGATAACGTGGTGTGTGTGTGTGTGTGTGTGTGTGTGTGTGTGTGTGTGCGTGTGTGTGTTGGGGTCCATGCAAGATATTACCCATGGAAGGAACATGGAGCCTCCAGGTTCCGCGGAAAGGGTCGGTATTAGAGGATTCCTTGGAGCGGTCAGCACTGGTCCGGGCCAGGGTGTCTCTGATGACAAAACTCCGGAGAGCTTTGTCTCACCAGGGATCAGATGGTCCCTGGTTTGGAAGGCGAGGGGAGGGTGCCAACGCCCTTCTCACCTCAGTCTGACCCGGGGGCGCGGGCCCAGACGTCTCTCGGAGCCCCCGCCGCTGGAATGGCGTTCCCCGAGGGCGGGGCGTGGGCGGGTCCCCCGGGAGCAGCAGGAGCCTCGCGGGGCGGGCGCCCCCAGCGCCGAGGTTGAGGGAGGCCGGGCTCTGTGCGGGGCTGGGAGGGGGGCGCGGAATCAGGGCTTTTTAGGACCCAGCGCGGCGCCTTCCTCCGGGGGCGAGTGCGGCTGCGCGCGCCGTGTGCCCGTGTCCGGAGAGCGGCGGGCTGGACGCGGACCGCGCGAGCGAGCAGGCGACGGGCGAGCAGCTAGCGGAGCAGCAGCCCCGGCGGCAGCAGCGTCGCGGCGGCGGCGGCGGCGGCCGCTCCGCGCCTCGCCTTACCGGCCTCGCCGGCCTCACCTCGCCGCGCCCGGACCCGCCACCCCCGCCTCCCCGCCCGACCTCCGCAGCCCCCCGTCTCGGCCGGCAGCGCCCACCGCCTGCCCGAAGCGAGGAGCGGAGTGCGGGGCGCAGAGGCACCGGAGCCAGTGCTCGCCGGCCCCGCAAACCAAACCTAGCCGGGAGAACCCCCGCCTGGCCCCGCGCAGCTCCGCGACCGCCGGGAGCTGTCCCTTCAGCACCGCCGCGGGAGCCCGAGTCCCAGCGCAGCCCAGCGGAACCCCAGCTGGAGCCCGGGAGCACCGAGAGCAGCGCTCGGCGTTAGCCGCACAAGAAACACCCCGGGTGCCCCTGCCCAGGGGGCCCGCCATCTCCAGGAGGCGGGGAGAAAGAACGAGGAGGGCGGGCGGGCAGGCGGGCCCGCCGCCGGGGGGAGCAGGCAGCGAAGCAAGGAGAGAGGGAGGGGGCCGGAGCCCGCCCTGCGTCCCGAGCTGCAGCCCGGCCACGCAGGGAGGAAGGCAGGCGGCATCCATCTCCCCCGCGCCGAGAGCGCGCCGCGGCGACCACCGCACAGAGGAGCGCGAATTTCCCGGCCCGGTCTCCTCCCCTCCCCCTCCCGGGGGCTGGCCTCTAGTCCGGCCCTGGGAGCGGCTGACCTTCCCCCCAAAAGCTTTGTGCCTATTTCTCCATTTTCCCGCGGAGATGGGAACGGGAGACCGGCCCCCCAACCCTCTTTCCCCTCCTCCGGGGGCTCACCGCTGAGCCCGCCCCCCTCCCTCTTTCTCCCTCCCTCTCTCCCTCTCTTTCTCCCTCCCTTCTTTCCTCCTTTGCCTCCTCCGCTGCCGGACCAGCTCCCTCCCACATCTGGCGTCTAGAGACCCCTGCGATCCCGCACACTCCCCTGGACCGGCACGCAACAGAAAGCGCCCAGAGAGGCTTGGCTCGCTCGTTGGGGTGGCCAGAGCCGCGGACCTCTGTTCCCCTCGACGGCTGGGGGGAGGGGGGAAGAGGCCGCGCGCCCCCCTCCCCGGCGCCAACTCCCCCTGGCGGCCGCTCCCATGGGTGTCGCTGGGCCGCGCCATGCCTAAGGGGGCGCCGCGATGGGCCAAGGGGACGAGAGCGAGCGCATCGTGATCAACGTGGGCGGCACGCGCCACCAGACGTACCGCTCGACCCTGCGCACGCTGCCCGGCACGCGGCTAGCCTGGCTGGCGGAGCCCGACGCCCACAGCCACTTCGACTATGACCCGCGTGCAGACGAGTTCTTCTTCGACCGCCACCCCGGCGTCTTCGCGCACATCCTGAACTACTACCGCACGGGCAAGCTGCACTGCCCGGCCGACGTGTGCGGGCCGCTCTACGAGGAGGAGCTGGCCTTCTGGGGCATCGACGAGACCGACGTGGAGCCCTGCTGCTGGATGACGTACCGCCAGCACCGCGACGCCGAGGAGGCGCTGGACAGCTTCGGCGGCGCGCCCCTGGACAACAGCGCCGACGACGCGGACGCCGAGGGCCCCGGAGACTCGGGCGACGGTGAGGACGAGCTGGAGATGACCAAGCGCCTGGCGCTCAGTGACTCCCCCGATGGCCGGCCTGGCGGCTTTTGGCGCCGCTGGCAGCCGCGCATCTGGGCGCTCTTCGAGGACCCTTACTCGTCCCGCTACGCGCGGGTAAGTGACAACTTACCCATCAGAAGAGCGGGGCGGGAAGGCAGCGTCTTGTGCCTCCCCGCGGGCAGGGGTGGACCGCAGAACTGGCGCCTAGGGAGTTCAGAATCGAAAGGGGGTGTGTGCGCATGTGTGCACATACCAGGGTAAGAGAGAAAGGGTGTTTGCCGGGGTTCTGGTTTTCTATGTATGTCAGTCTGTGTGCTGCCAAGTTTAATATGTATGAGTATGAATGGGTGTGTTTGTGTGTATGAGTAGATTGTGTGTGCATATTTATGTAAGTGTGGTGGAGTGTATTTGGGTGGGTAAAGTGTGGAGTGGGAATGGGTGAGCATGTGTGTATTTTGAGTGTGCATGAGCGATTGCCCGTGCACATTTGTTTCTTTGCAGAAGTGCACTGTCAAAGTATGAACTGCCCTCGAGATTTTAGTGTGGGGAGGGAAGCTGGGAGCCCTTCCTCCTGTCCAGGTAAAGGGGCATCTGGAGCCAGCCATGGTCCCCCAAAAAGGCCTGAGGCCTGCTGGGCAGCTTGAGACAGCCGCCCCCTCCTCAGGGAGCAGCCTCCGGCAATTTTGAGGAGGTGGTCAAGAGGGCATCTCCATGGCTAATCTCCATGGCTTGGAAGTTGGTGGAGGGCTGGGCTGTAGGGTAGGGGTGGTCCCTCTGAGCCCCTGATCCTGAGATCACAGCCTGTCCTTCCTCCTTGTCGAAAGGGGGGAGTGTTGGAGTGGGTCACTGGGCTTATGCCAGTGCTTCCTCTGGGATATCCGGTGGTGGGGAGAGGGAGTCCTTAAGGGGGAACCTACAAGGAGAAGGTGTGTGAGAGGTGGGTGTGTCTTCATGGGCCACTCCCCTTTAGCCATACCCGCTTATTTCCAGGAAAAAAAGACACACTGCTGCTGACCTTGGTCCCTCAGATGGCCTCTCTGAATCAGTTTCCTCATCTGTAAAATGGGGGAGGGGGCCTGGTAAACTCTCAAGGGCCTTGCTGCTAGACCATAAGTGACTGAGCCCAAAACGAGGAACTGGTAGCAGCCACCCACCCTGGAAGAGGCACTCCCAGCCTTCACTGGGCTCTGTCCTTAGAGGCCTAAAGAGAGACTCTAAGGCCTGTAGGGGAAGGGTAGAGTGGAGAAGTTAAAGGAGAGCCCCTCCTGCATCCATGAGCTGACCTCACCCCCTACCAGGCAAAGCACTGCCTCTGCCCTGCTGTCTTTTACTTCGCATCTCTCCCCTCCTGCCCACTGGAGCCTAAGCCAGAGCCAGGGGAGAGGACTAGGAAGCTGCAGAGGAGAGTGGAAGGAGGAGACTTGGGGGGCCCTCAAGTGCCCATGGGCAGAGAAAATCTATGTTTAGGCACGGACCTGGTAGATCTGTTAACTGAGATCAAACACAGTATGGCATGTGGGGGGTGGATAGTGGGTCATTCTGATACCCTGAATTCTAGAACGACTATGTTTATAAGGGGAGGCAATAGGGAGAGAGCCCGGCCCGTGTTTTGCCACTGAGGACCCTGACCAAGGTCACCCAGGGAGCAAGAGGCCAAGAAGGACTAGAACTCAATTCTCCTGGGACCCTATCCTCCCCTGGGCTGGCTACCAGCTCCTGCCTTTCCCCAGAGTGGACTGGGACCCTCAGAGGGCTTCCCTCCCCTTCCCTTTCCTGTCAGAGGCCACCACAGCTAGAGGGTTATGTAACTGGAGGCTGTGGCTGAGCTGTGGGGAGGGGCTGGAGGAGGGGGTTGGGAGGTTGAACCAGTGCATGTTGGGGTGGGGGTGGGCAGAGGCCTGGGTTACAGCAGCTGCCCATTCAGCCCACACTTGACCTTGGACAGCAGCTCCCCCACCAACTTTGGCCCCAGAAGCAAGGGTTAGGCCCAGTCTCCTGACTCCCAAGCAAGAGCTGGGTCTCCCAGCCCCACCCCTTGCACTCAGTGTTGGGGCTCTGATCAGTGTCCCGAGTTTCAGGGCAGGCAGGGGGCAGTGGGGCATGTTCCAACCCCCTCCCTTGGCCCTCTCCTCCCACTGGACATTTCTAGGCTGCCGGTGGCCTTCACCCAAGGCAGACAACTGGGCCAGCTAGTGTGGTTTGAGGTTCTATTGGTGTGCAAAACCATGCAGAAAAGTCTTGAAAAAAATCTCTGAAGTGAATACTCATTGAAGAGCGGACTCTGAGGGAAAAGAGTGGGCGCCTGGTGGTCGGGGCGAGGCGGTACTGGGATAGGAGTGGGTGCTGGTGGGTGTTCCCCTTCAGCCTGTCTGAGCCACCTTCTCTCCCCAGTGGCCTCCGAGGAAGGTTGTGGTCCCTTCCAGCTCCCTCGGGGAACAGTTGAGGACACTAAGGCCTGTAGGGAGAGGGACCTGCCCAAGGGCACTCAGGAGCTGAGGAGGGCAAAGCGGGATTAGAACCCCGGCTTCCTGCCTGCCGCCCGGCTGGCCTAGCTGCATTGCGCTGCCTCTCTGCAGCTCATCTGCGCAGAGACCAGCCGCCTGCCCGCCCCCCTCCCCCTCCGTCTTTGCTCTGCCGCCTCTGCTGTCACCTTTGTTTACCCCTCCCCCGCACCTCCTCACACCGGCGGGTCGGGACTCAAGTCGTTATTCTAGATTTAGACCAGCACGTTGTGTGTGATATTGCATATGTGTACGAAGGAAAGGCTGTATGTGTGAGACAGGCTCTGTGTAAAAGAGATTGTGTGTGAGAGACTTGTGTGTGTGAGAATAAAAATGTGAGACTCAGGGTGGGTGTGTGTGTGTGTGTGTATGTGGTGAGACTGTGACTCAGTGTGAGCTTCCTGAGTCCTTGTGTCAGGGGTTGTGTGTGTGTGAGAGAGGTGGATTCTGTGTTTTGGATGGACTGTGCGTGTGTGAGAATGAGACTGTGTGGGAGAGAGTGTGTATAAGGAAGAGAGCCTGCATGTGTAAGAGAGATGCTGTGTGTGAGGTTTGAGGAGTGCATGAGAGTCGAGGTGAGCGTGTCTGCATGAGTGTGTGGCTGTGTGTGGCAAGTGTGAAACTGCATATGTGGAGCTCGTGTGTGAGGCTGTGTGTGTGTACATGTGTGTACACATAAGGCAGGAGGCTGTGTGGGGTGGGGGTCCCTGTGTGTGACACACTGTATGTGAGGGCGTGTGTAAGACAGAGACTGTGAGATCGTGTGTGTGACAGTGTGTGTGGCATGTGTGTGAGACCCCACGTGTGTGTCAGTGTGCTGTGTATATGTGAGAGAAAGGTCCTGTGCATCCTGGGTGTGTGTGTGCTTGAGGAAGATGAGATTCCAGAGCTGCCTCCTGCCCACTGCCTCAGTCTCCGGGACTCTGGAGTGGCCTAATTGAGGGCATTTCCTATCCTCAATAGAGATGCTGTTCTGCCCAGGCCACTGTCAGTGTGTGGAATGGGCGGTGAGGTCACCTTTCCCTGAGGAGCTGCTACCTACCCTGGGCCTTGGTGCTGGCCCTGGAGATAGGGGCTGCGTAGTCGGGGTGGGAGGGCCCATCTGAGTTCCCGAGGGGCAACAGTGCTGGCTGGGGCAGCTGCTCCCCTGCTCCCCTCTCCTGTGCTCTGGGCACCAGCCTGAGGGGATGAGGGGTCGGGGGGACGAGCTGGGACGAGATGAGCTCCACGTGTGTTCTGGGGTGGGAGGTGGTGCCCCTGACGCACACAGGACAATGATGATGATGGTACAGTTTGGAAAGGCTATGAAGGGACTTCCTGGGGCCATATGAATAAGAACTGCCCCAGAGGAGGTGATGCTGGGGCAAGCTTTGAGGGGCAGGGAGGAATTAACCAGGCAGAGGGCAGGGGGTCATAGAGGTGGGAGAGCAGGCAGGGGAGTGTTGGGGCTGCCTGGTTTGAAACCTGCCCTCCTGTCTTCCTTGGGGGCCAGCTCAGGTCTGAGGCTCTCAGCTTTAGTCTCCGATTTGCATGTCATCATCAGGGACATCGTTGTGTCCCATCAGGGCCAGTGGTGGTCCTTGTACTGCAGGCCAGAGTGTCCTGTGTGTGTGTGTGTGTGTGTGTGTGTGTGTGTGTTAACATCTGTTCCTGAGTCACTTGACCTTCCAAATGCCAAAAGAGTGCCAATGGCCCCCAAGCTGGGGAAGCCCCACCTCCATCCACCCAGCTGCCTGCCTCTCCTCTGACCCTTGTCCTGTGTCTGTCTCTCTGTCCCGTCACTGCCTCTTTGGAACTTGATAAAAACTGGTTCCCCATCAGCTCCCTGGGAAGGGAATTTACCTGGTGGCAGGAATGAAACCCCCAGCCAGAGGCTTCTCTTCCTCCCTTGGGTCCCAGCTGACACAGGGCTCTTGGAGTCGTGGCTTGGAATGCAGAGGGCTGGGGGACAGAGCTGTTATCAGGGGATTCTAAGCAGTGCACCCCCTTACCTCAGAGCCCACTCCCCCAGGCCAGGGCCCCACTTGGAGTCATGGTACCATATGAAGGACACCCATGAGCAGTGGAGAAGGGGCTGGGTGTGCTCCCCTCCCAGCCTCCCCAAGGGCCCTCCACCACAGTGTGCCCCTGCTTCCCATGATCCTTGTGCGGGGGTCCTCAGGTCTTTGAATGGTTCCTCCAGCTCCCCCCGACCCCCTCCCAGTAGTGATAATCATAAACCAAGCGCCTCCTGGTCACAGCCCGGCAGCCTCTTCACCGCTAAATGGAAATAATGATAGAACCGACCTCACAGGGTTGGTGTGAAGATAACTGAGATAATAATGCTTGGATAGCCCCAAGCCACAGGGTCTGGCATACAGTAAGTGCTCAATAAATGTTGGCTACTATTATTACTACTGTTGGTTGTATTATCATTTCCCCTCCTGTAGACTCTCTCCTCTCCCTCCACCTCCATGTTCACCATCCTGGCTCAAGCTGCCATGGTTCCCCTCAGGCCCACCTCCCCAGCAGCCCCCAAGCTGCTCTCCCACCTCCAGCCCCTAGCTGCTCAAGTTTATCCTCCACCTGGCAACCACAGGGGTCTTTTCAACTCACAGACCTGTCAGATCACCC